TGCGTTGGGACTGCCGGCAGATTAAATGTATCCAATAGTACGTCCAGCGGAATCTTTACTTCGGTCGATGGGCGCTCTGGCGTTAACCGCTTGCGTAGTTGATTTCGATGTCTGGTCCACCTGTCCGCTCCCACCTCAACCTCGTACATGACTTCTCCTACCCGTCTAACCACACGCGCTTCGATCCAAGGATCACGATTTGCTCTGTAGTCCCGAGCGAATACTGGGCATCCAACGTTGTACGTGGGTAGCTTCCGGGACGTGGTTTGTGCTAGTGGTGGTGTGGTTTTCGGCAGCATCAAGTTGTGGATGGTCCTCAACCGTCTTCCCATGAGGACCTCTGCGGGGGACTTCTGCTCCGGCAGCGCGTCGTTGGGGGTCGTTCTGTAGTCGAATAAAAAATTCTGCAGTGTTTCCACTGGCGTCCCCTCTCATTTTGACTTAATCAGAGCCCTCTTGAACGTATGCACGAACCTTTCCGCTGCCCATTCGATTGTGGGTGATAAGGTGGGGTGCGAAGATGCCTGATGGTCAGGCGTTTGCAGAACTCTTGGAACTGCGCCAAGGTGAACTGCGACCCATTGTCGGATACAATCACTTCCGGTAATCCGTTTCGTACGAACAACTCAATCAGATGTTTCAGCGTCTGAGTGGTCGTTGGTGGCGTGACGGGTACAATCTCCGGCCATTTTGAGAAAGCGACGACCACGACAAGATAAGTGGTTCCGTTGACTGGACCGGCAGAGTCGACATGTATCCTAGACCAGGGATACTCAGGCTGTGGCCATGGAACCGGCGGCACCTTCGCATTGCACTTCGCTGCTTGCTGACACTGAACGCATTTGTTTACTAGATCCGTGATTTGCTGGTCCATGAAGGGCCAGTAAGCATAGCTTCTTGCGATAGATTTCATACGCTTTATCCCGGGATGACCAATGTGAAATTGCTTCAGCACCCTCGGTCGTAGGGATTCTGGCACCACCACCCTATCTCCAAACATCAAGCATTCATTTACGACACATAATGAGTCACGACGATGGTAAAGCTGCTTCATGTCACCGTCAAGTTCAGTTGATGGCTAGCCATTGGTGACGTAGTTCATCGTTTTCTTAATGATGGGGTCGTTTCTGGAAGCAGTTTGTATCTCAGATTCTGAGACTGGCAAAGCACGAACAGCAGTTGTCAGGTTGCATTGCGCGTGGTCTTCTGTCGAAAGAGAAGCAATAACGACATCTTCGTCGGTCGTAGGGTGTTCTCTGATAAGTCGTGACAATGCCTGACCAAAATGTTGGGTGCGTCGATACTGAATGTCAAAATCGTAACCCAAGAGGATCGAGGCCCATCGTTGGAGACGGTTTGCAGAGTGGGCCGGGACGCCAGACTTCGAACCAAAAATCGCAAGGAGAGGCTTGTGATCAGTTAGGAGAGTAAATCTCCGACCATAAAGAAACTTGTGAAAACGACGCACTGCGTAGACTAGGGCAAGAGCTTCCTTCTCTACCTGGCCATACTTCTTTTCTGCTGGGGTTAATGTTCGCGATGCATGCATGATGGCTTTCTCTGTCGCGTCGGGGAACTGGTGTGAAATGGCAGCACCGAGCCCAAAAACTGAAGCGTCCGCGGCCACGATGATTGGCAAAGACGGGTCGTAGTGCGTTAATAGTAGTTCTGAGCAAATAATTGTCTTTAGCTTACAAAAGGCGTTTTCACATTCCTTTGTCCAGTTCCAGCTGGTATCCTTATTCAGAAGATAATTCAGTGGGGCGCGTATGTCATGCATCGATGGAACGAAGGCTGAGTAATAACTAACCAGTCCCAGAAATGATCGTAGAGCAGAGATATTGGTAGGTGTGGGTATAGTTTTTATAGTTCGAATGTTCTCGGGATCTGGTCTGCGACCTGCAGCATCGAAGATGAACCCCAAATACTTCACGGACTTCAAGAAAATCTGGCAATTTTCCGGGCGTAGCCGGAAACCGTTGTCGCTGACGCGTTGGAGCACGGCTGTTGTGCGTTCTCGTAACTGTTCCGACGTTGTGACAACAATGAGGATGTCATCCAGATAAGTTGCGACCTCCGGGATACCCGATAGAATGGTATCCATTAGCTGCTGGAAAATAGATGGGGCGGTCTTAACTCCAAACGGCAGCCGATCATACTGGAACAGGACACGATGAGTATTAATAGTGAGTTGCTCTCTTGATTCTTCAGCCACTTCTACTTGTAGATAGGCATCAGCAAGATCCAGCTTCACAAAGAACTTTCCGCCATTCAGCATAGTGAACAAATCTGCCGGGACTGGCAGCGGGTAGTGATGCTGTTCTAGGGCTGCGTTGAGACCTGTGGAAAAATCTGCACATATTCGGATCGTACCATTAGCCTTCTTGATAACAACATTGGGTGCTGCCCAAGCGGAATAAGAGACAGGAGTAATAACTCCTTCACGTTGAAGGCGATTAAGTTCTTCCTCAACTTTCTGTAATGCAGCATGTGGTACTGGTCTCTTCGGACGAAAAACAGGTTTAACCCCAGATTTCAATCGAAGCGTTGCTTTCATGGTTGAGCACCGACCCAAAACAGGCTGAAAGACGGCCGAAAACTTCGCAATTGGTTCCTTTGAATAGGCTTCCGGGTCATGGGGTTGCTGTACTAGATGATACACGGTGTTTAACGGGACGTCCGCTAAATGCAGCTGGTCAAACCAATCTCATCCGAGTAAATTAAGATCAACCGGTGCAATGTAACATACCCCAGTGAACGTCGAATCGCGAAAAGACACTTCACAATGTAGTTGACCTAACAAACGTAAGTAATTACCGCATGCTGTACGAGGTTTTTGTGTTGTTGTCGCCATACGTGGTCTGCCCATTTCAATCCAAGATTTTTGTGAAAGAATCGTCACGTCTGATGCTGTGTCTATTTGCAATCTAAATGAATGCCCGTTAATATTAATGATAATAAATTTTCTCTCACCTGGAGTTGAGTTCTGACGGTCTTATCGCGTCACACATCAACTAGGCATCCACTCGGCCACAAGATATAACAATTGGCGACGGGGACAAAAAAAAGTGAAAAATGACGCTCCCTTCTGACCGATTACAGTTGTTATTTGACCGACTATTGGAGTTCATGGTCAAACTACGCACACAGTTTCTGGATCACCAATGCTTTGCATATGCGTCGAAAGTGGATGGATTAATCACTGAATTTCACGCAGAGCTGGAAAATGATCGCAGCCTCCATGAATCCTCGACCAGCCGCAACTCAAACGAAACAGCAGTCTCTCAAGAGACGCCCGGTTGTCCATCACTATCCATTTCAGAAACGTGCCCGGTAGTGGATTCAAACCACACTATCCCTGAATTAGCAGGTCCGAACAGTGACGCTTCCAGCTCTCATCAACATGATGCCATGTTAAATGCTCATGAAATTGCTGCAGTATAGTGGATACAGTGGTGCCAAATGAAACTAGTCATAATGCGAAAAATGTTTCTAACGAATCTAATGATCAAGATTCTCTAATTTTTCTGCCAGATTTATATTATTTTGATGATTCATATGTTCCTTTTGAACTCTCTTATAAAAATGAGAGAAAAATGTCAGATGCAGTAAATGATAATCAAGAATCCAATACGTTTTTCATAGACACTGATTATGATTCATTATCTGCCAATGAGGTTCCGAAGAAATTAAAGCAAACTGTTTCACAAGAATCAAACGCTGGTGACCCCAAATCAATTGTCGTCGATCCTCATGATCCAGTCAGTTCTAATGGTTTCTCTGTTAAATATGACAAACATGTTCTATATAATGTCACATCAATAGTGACTTGGCTATATGAGGTTCCAACAGTCTTTCTTGGGGGAGGATGAATTCGAGAAATTTAAAATCCGGATTTCTCAAAAAGGGGAGGTGTTATATCCCCCGGTGAATTACGAATGGCAACTTTTAGGTCTATTTATGGATCAACGTAATATGCCTATTTCCGATTGTACAATTATTACGTAACCGAACTATTCATATTCGTATTTCTCTTATCAATAGCTTTATTTTGACCTTGACTTATTATCATACGATTCTTGAGTTATAATCAGTTTATTGATTACTTTGGTTTGTATAAAAACCCAGTGTGTTTGTAAATAATGATTCATACCACTGAGGCTGTTATTTGTGTTCTGGACTTAACTGGCTGGGCTAGGTAGATCACAGGACCGGTTAGCACTGTAGACTGCTCGTACGGGTTTTGTGTCACTATTCCAGTCGATAATTCGCTGCTCCCTGATTGGCGGTTCTATCGCGTCACACATTAATTAGTCATCCACTCGGCTACAAGATATAAAACCGTTCACCAATTGTCTTCAGTGAGTTGATATCTCTACAACAGACTTGGTTGAACTCCACTGGTCATCACTTCCTACAACTGAAGAGTCCCATAATAAAACGAAACGGTCGTTTAGTGCTTCCAGGTTTTCTATGGTGGTCTAGCTTCAACTGACTCATAATTTCAACTATGAAAACACTGAAATCTCCAAAAATCCCCTTTTGAGCTAACTAGATAGATAGACAAAAACAAACATACAACAAAAATTCTTCCAGGTTTTCCATGGTGGTCTAGCTTCAATTGACTGACGATTTCAACAAATAAATAACTTAGCTGAATTCATTGTACATGTTGTACACATTGTCAATAGTTTGAAAATAATAACTAAAACAATATTCTATGCATAGAAAATATTTACTATTACATATAAACAAAAAGAAGATACATTTAGAATGATATTAATTTATATGTATATCAATGAAAGAGTATGATATTTCACTAGTTTAATAATTCTATTATAACAGAAAAATTTAATGATATGAAATGCATACACATTCTTGTATTTATTTTGTTACTGTGGAAAAAAAAATATAAATACTTTTTCTCCATATATCTTTTTATAATATATTCATTATATTGTCAGTCAATGATTAAAATAACCAAATAATATAGATGAATCTTATTCATGTTTTTTAAGATTTCCATTTGTTTGAATGTTTATTGAACTGTGATCAGTCTATGTAAAAAGAAAAAAACAAAACAACAAACAATTAAGAGATTTCGATAATGCAATGAGAAGACGAAGATTATCAGAACTATGTGATATATTAGCGCATATAATCGAAACAGGTCATAAGATTGATCTAAACTCGGCTTTTGTGGTGTTGTTTAAAAGTGTAAAAGGGCGTATACTAAGGTTTGTTGAAGCCTTAGCCATACGAAAATTCAACCCCCCTTTGTGTATTCAAAAACAGTTTGTTCTCTCTTTAAACCTACCCTGGTAATATAAGCTTATTATCCAGAGTGATTAGGTGTCAAGTTGTTTTCACATTATTTTATCATTATATCCTTGTCTATTTCTTAACCTTATTACCAGTCTAGTTGACCTTTTATTTTTATATATAAATGTTCTTAACAAGTATATGTGTGATCAGATTGTTCGAAATGTATTGCGCTAATATATCACATAGTTCTGATAATCTTCGTCTTCTCATTGCATTATCGAAATTTATCAAAGGGACTAATTGCTTTAAATTAAGAGATTATTTTAATACACATTTTCTTAAATGATTAATAAATTATACACAATAATTAATAATTAATAACTAATCAATATAAATATCTCAATTAGTTAAGGAGGTAACACTTTAAACTTATACTATGTGATACTATAGATTAAATCCCAAATATCAACCATTCTACAGTTGTACATATCTCTTGCTAACAAGTATCAACTAACACTGAACCTATGATTAAGGTTTTCTGTTGATTCCCTTTAACAATACAACATTTGTATAAGCAAACAACCTAAACAATTAAAAAAAGTAGAGACATTTTTTCATATGAAATAAAGAACTAGAGATTGAGATATAATTGTTGATATATATAGAATTAGTACATTCATTTAAATATAAATAACAATTGATAACTTAATTGACAATTATTACAAACATTTTTCTATTTATTTAGTAATTATGTTTATGATTTGTATGATAATAAAAAGATTTATTCACAAAAATAGCTTCAGAATGGTTAAAATGTATTGTAATGATCTATTCACAGAAAAAAAAAGCCCATGACTGAAGCTCCATGTGATATATTACATGATACTCTTCTCATTAAACATTCGAGCTTGGAGGTCTGAAAACACCTAAGTTCTAGTGTTTACACCACATAACACCATAGTGGAGATTTGTAGCTCAGGTGAATGATTTTGATGGAGTTTTGTTCTCTAAGCCCAGAGAACAAACACCATAACACCATAAGAAAAATGCAACAGTTACGAAAATTGAGTGGAAATAGGCATGTGAGCAGAGAGATGAAGAAAAGTATTGGTATACCGATAGGATCTATTCTAGACACTACAGGTTAGTTGTTTCACAAGATTGTGATCAATTCTAATTTAGGGCACCTTCAAATATTAATCACTGAATTCCAGTCTCTGAAAACCAGAAACCATATAATTTACAATTCCCTTTGTGATTTAGGTTAAGTGACAGTAATCAACCTAACAGTTTACTACTTTCTCATTCACCATCACAGTTCCGTTTGCTATAAATATTTACATTTAATAGAAGTGTGTAACCGAGTGTTCGTCGTAAAATAAAGCGCTTGTGGAATCTTTTTATCAATCATTACTTACTTTTATAACTCCTTCAAATAAATTGCACTTATTGTTCTTAAAAAGTTACGAGGAGAGTTTGTGAAACGAATAGGAAGCCCTAAACCTAGTAGTTTTATTTCTTAACATAACTCAATTACCAAGTACAGGTTTATTTATATAGCTGAATGCTATGCATTTTTTATGAGCTCTGGTGATTCTACCAAGCTCCCTACTACGTGAGTTAAGTGAGAATGGTATCTCATACCTAACAGTTGTAAACCGAATCTTGGGTGCTAGGTCATTAGTGCACTTGTGACAATTTACACTTGTTTAAAATAGTTAGAGAGATGTATGTGCGATCCCGAAACGTGATGTCTCCCATAAATTCACTCGTTAGTAATAATATTAAAGACTACTAACGCATGTGAATACCGACCAGTTTTAACTTGCTTTCACTATCCTAACTACTACATGAAATGTGAAGACTGCGAGATTATCAGTACTTCACACACACAATTGATCTAAGTCAATGAAGTCAACTCGTAAGGATGTTCCAAGCTTCTTACATGATTCGAATGACTGAAGTGCATCCATTGTAAACGGGATAAAGTTCAGGTATTTAAGAAAATGAGCAATCACTCACTAACATTTCTTGTATATTAAACAATTGCAGGTGTAATAAATAAATAACTTCCTAGAGCGTCAAATAAACTGTTACTATTTACACCAAAAAATGACATCATTCAGATAATATCAAAAAACACTTCATCCAACAAAAAACTGATCAATTGCAGACCAAAATAACAATCGGAAGATACAAGTAAACAATAACAAGTGAATATAACTTCATCCTTTATATTGACCAATATGAACAACAATATACAAAATTTCGACAGGGAAAATGCCCAACAATGAAGTCAAGAAATGAACTAGCTGACTAACCAATAACATCAAAGGTCAACAAGTTATACGGTCAAGGGCTACAATTGCTTAAAAATCAGACATAAGAAATGTAAAATCCATACGACCATAACAATTTCTGATGACAACCAATCATAAGTAAGATGATAGGAATAAAAATTTATTTGGCATATGTAGAGGTTAAATAAACAGACTAGTCTAATTACTTTATAACTGCAGTTGACAAGACGTTAAAATTAATACAATTTTTTTCAAAGAAATTTCTTCCTTTAAAGTGATTGATATCTCATATCATACATACAGCCTATAGTATACTGAAGTGATTTTCATTTATGATTTGTGCTGTTCACTTGACCTCGTAACTTGCAATATTTTCCAAATGCAGATTAATAAGATTGTGACTTATGATAAACATGACAGAATAGAACGTTTATTGAGAAATATACTAAGGAAAAATAATCATTTTTCCAGTTTAATTCGTTTTCTCGAAATTGTTACAAGTCTCTAGGACGCTGTTTATAAATATAATAATTAGTATAATCTTAAATAATTAGAGTAGTGTTGCATACACTAGAGTAGAAAGCCAAAACGTGACCTCGTATTCAATATTGTTCTTTATCTTATCTATTAGACTAGTTGCCAAAAAAATGAGTCATACGACGTAACTTTAAAGGAAATATGAGAAATTAATCAATTTGATGGTGAACCAATCTATATATCTGCCTTTCTTTCCACCTACGTCGACCTGTGCATATTTATCAGTATTTTTTTAGTTATACAATTCTTTGTGCCTAATCAACAGCAAATAGGATAAAAACTGGTTTTTCTATTTTAAAAAACGTAAGTTTATCCATAATTGAACTTTCTACTGACAAAACTGTAAGATTTTTGTTTTACAGTGTGAAGAACGTTAATCTATCAATAATAAATCTGATTACATTTGAGTGATATAAGTAATGAATCCGTCTGCAGCTCTACTAGGATTGGGCAACAACAAAGGAAAAAGCTACAAGAGAAGGAAATATGAAACAATAATATGACACGACGAAGAAACTGGTAGGGAATTATAGTAAACCAGTCAAGATGAAGATAATCACTGAAATTCAAGAACAGAGGAACAGATGGGTAGAATACTTCGAAGAACTCCTGAATAGGCCAGTCCCACTGAAGCCCCCGGACATCGTAGCAGAACACACAAACCTTCCTATGGATGTCACTAACGACCAAAAAACCAGGATGAGCATCAGACATATCAAAAGTTGGAAAGCGATAGGGTCTTAGAACATACCAAATGAAGTATTGAGGTCAGATATACAAGCAACTACAAACACACTTCACATTTTATTCAGGAAGATTTGGGAAGAGAAACAAGTGCAGACAGACTGGAAACAGAGATATCTCATTAAGATACCAAAGGAAGGAAATCTGAGCGAATGTGAAAACTTGTAGTGTCGTTTGCTATGTCAATTTCACATAGCTTATTCTAGCTTCCGGAGAGGCTAATTTATTTATTCTTCTTGAGTCACATTTCGACCATATTAATTATTGGCTTATCAACCTTGATTGTTTTTATGTAAGCGTGTATATACGCATTTCTTATCTTACTAATCATACGTCTATAACTTATTTTTGTCTGAAAGTAAATATCGATTTACACTTAGTTAAATCGAGTTAGTTTACATGCCTTCTCCACCGCGAGTCGTTTCGCTTAGCTCATTTCTCAGAAAGTTAGTCTGGATCAACAATTGTATGAAAGTTACGTATTCGAAATCCACTCTCGTATTTGACTTATTTAATTCCGTTATTCACTGACGTGATTCAAACAGATGGTTATATACGAGGATTGGCGATATGTATATTTCAATAACACTCATTCATACGATCAAATTGAAGTCAGATAAAGGGCCACTAAAAAGTAGTCGAACGCGTCGACAACTTCACTTATCTTGGAAGTCTGATCAGCCATAATGGGTTGGTGTCTGATGCTTACAAGTAATTTTTTAAAATATATTTACTGCCATTGAGGTAACTGCTTCTATGAATTTGGTGTTTATCTTGCTGTTCTGTTGAGGTATGGCAACTTGGACTGATGCATATATCTTAACATGAATACCTAAACCACATAGCCTGATTGTTAACAGTATTTATTTTTACCCATTCACATTCGGTTTTTGGGGACAAAATATCTATCGGTAGAAATAATTCAGTGGTAAAGATAAAATATTAGACAAAAAACGACGATAGGCATTTACATAAACATATACTTACTGCTTTACATAAATTTTGCTTTTTCAATTTATGATATGCATGATGATAGTGATTATAGAAAAGTAATAGAAGAGTGACTTGATAAAATAAATTGAAGTGATATACAGATTTGTTAAGACCACATTGCTTGTAAAGTGAAATGAAGGAATAAAATATTCCATAGGTAAATTGAATCTATATGAGAATAAAAAAAAAGAGAAAACAGGTGTACAAAGGAATCACTCTACTTTTTTCTAAAAGAAAATACAGAAATAAAAATAATTATGTATATTGAAAACTGAAAATTCCCATTCAATAAATAGCTTTGATTGGTTACAGACGTTTAACTTATCAACCTACAGTGGACATAATTTGGAGAGAATCGAAAAAAAAATTTATAACTCAAAATGAAAAATAGAATTGTATTTTGATGGTATTGTCTAAAAAGACGATGGAAACTTTACAATTAAACTACTTAACTAACAGTGAAATTTTTTTCAGAATTGTAGTTCATACATTCGGCAAGTCATTTGGTTTGGTATCTGAATCGAAAATGCACTCTACATCTGTATTTATTTATTTATTTACTAGACGCTAAGTCACATGTATTTTATAAGGATTGTAATTATTAATTATCAGAGGGGGTTTTGTGGAGATTTAGTATTTTTCATATTTTTAAAGCATGAGTCAATTGAAGCTAGACCACCATGGAAAACCTGGAAACACTGGACGGCCGTTTCGTCCTATTATGGGACTCCTCAGCAGTGCGCATCCACGAACCCGCTCGCGCGAGATTCGAACCCAGGACCTACCAGCTTCGGCTTCGGCTCGAAGCTGGTAAGAAAATAAAAAATCGTCGATGGGCGAAAATTTACAGTAAATATTGCCTGTTCAACAAATTGAAACAAATGAAATCGCACATATTATCTAAGGATAAATGTCATCATTTATTATTCATATGGGTTCACATTACCATTGAATACCGTTTATCAAATAAAAACTATTGCATCGTACGTCACCAGCTGATGCTAGTTGGAAAACCAGGGGGTACTGAACAGTTATTTTGTCATGGTTTGGTGGTTCGTCAAGAGATCAAACCGAAAACCTTCAAACTCGTGCAGAAAGTGGTGGGGCCACAGATCTATGGATCAGAAGAGTCCCATTTTAGAAAGAACTAGCCATCCAGACCTCCTTTTGTTCAATAACTGTCAAAGATCAATTGGTGATCCATATTATGAAAATTCAACCTCCTTCTAAACACTGAAAGTTGGTACTGTTTGTCAAAAATGAACCCAAGCAAAGGAAAGAAGAATGAAGTGCAGAAACATATACAAATTCTTTATATTCATCCACAGACTATATAATTTCATGTAACTTCGTTTCCTTGAGAAAAATTGAGATGAAATGACTAAACAAATAACGGTTTTCAGTTCAAATTTATCTCATATAACCAGTTCGAAGTGATCAAAAAACATATTTCTTTGCAGTGTTTGTTCTTTCTCTTAGTTCCTTGCTTTAGAGTTTCGTTGTTCATTTTATGATTAAAAATACTTACTTACTTACTTACGCCTGTTACCCCTCGTCGAAGAGCATAGGCCGCTCACCAGCATTCTCCATCCAACTCTGTCCTGAGCCTTCCTTTCCAGTTCTTTCCAGTTGCTATTCATCCTTTTCATATCGGCTTCTATTTCCCGGCGTAGTGTGTTCTTTGGCCTTCCTCTTTTCCGCTTCCCTTCCGGATTCCAAGTTAGGGATTGAGTCGTGATGCACATTGGTGATTTCCTTAATGTATGTCCGATCCACTTCCAACGTCTTTTCCTAATTTCCTCTTCAGCTGGAAGCTGGTTTGTCCTCTCCCATAAAACGCTGTTGCTGATAGTATCCGGCCAATGGATGTTGAGTATTTTGCGTAGACAACTGTTTATAAATACTTGTACCTTCCTGATGATGGCCGTAGTAGTTCTCCACGTTTCAGCTCCATACAGTAGGACTGTCTTGACGTTCGTATTAAAGATTCTGACCTTGAAATTGGTTGAGAGTTGTTTTGAGTTCCATATGTTCTGCAATTGTAGAAATGCTGCCCTTGCTTTGCCAATCCTTGCCTTTACATCTGCATCCGATCCTCCTTGTTTATCAACGATGCTCCCCAGGTACTTGAATGTTTCCACCTCTTCCAGAGTTTCGCCATCAAGTGTGATTGGGTTGGTGTTCTCCGTGTTGCATTTGAGAATCTTGCTTTTTCCTTTGTGAATGTGGAGGCCTATCGATGCGGAGGCTGCTGCTACATTTGCTGTCTTCATCTGCATTTGGTCGTGTGTATGAGAGAGGAGGGCTAGGTCATCTGCGAAGTCCAAATCATCTAATTGATTCTGAGAAGTCCATTGTATTCCGTATTTCACTTCGGATGTCGAATTCGTCATAATCCAGTCAATCACTAGAAGGAAGAGAAATGGGGAGAGTAGACAGTCTTGTCTGACTCCGGTCCTTACTGGAAATGCATCTGTCAGCTGTCCTCCATGCACCACTTTGCACTGTAATCCGTCGTATGAGTTTTGGATAATGTTGACGATCTTCTGAGGAACTCCATAGTGTCGAAGAAGTTTCCACAATGTTCTCCTGTCCACGCTGTCAAACGCCTTCTCATAGTCAATGAAGTTGACGTATAGTGATGAGTTCAACTCAACTGATTGTTCAACGATGATCCGTAGTGTCGCAATCTGGTCTGTGCACGACCGATCCTTACGGAATCCAGCCTGATGATCCCTAAGTTCGGCGTCTACTGCGTCTTTCATCCGATTCAGCAGCACTCTGTTGAAAACTTTTCCTGGTACTGATAACAAACTGATGCCTCTGTAGTTCTCACATTGGCTCAGATCTCCTTTCTTTGGTATCTTGATGAGATATCCTTCTTTCCAGTCCGTTGGCACTTGTTCCTCTTCCCAAATCTTTTTGAATAGAAGGTGAAGCATGTTTGCAGTTATTTCAATGTCTGACTTCAGTGCTTCTGCTGGTATATTGTCAGGTCCTGCCGCCTTCCCACTTTTGATTTGTCTGATGGCCATCTTGACTTCTTCGATCGTTGGTGGAGTGACATCTATTGGAAGGTCTGTGTGGGCTGCTTCGATGTTCGGTGGATTCGATGGGGCTGGTCTATTCAGCAGTTCCTCAAAGTATTCTGCCCATCTTTTCCTCTGTTCCTGAATCTCAGTGATTGTCTTTCCTTCTTTGTCTTTGACTGGTCTCTCTGGTTTGCTATATCTCCCCGCCAATTTCTTCGTTGTATCATATAGTTGTTTCATATTCCCTTCTCTTGCAGCTTTTTCCGCCGCCGTTGCTAGTTCTCCCATGTATTTCTGCTTGTCGGCTTTAATGCTTTTCTTCACTTCTCTGTTTGCTTCTGCGTAGTCTGCTTGTGCTTTGACTTTCTCTGCTCGTGTTCGGCTGTTGTTAATTGCTAGTTTCTTGTTCTTCCTTTCTTGAAGTTTGTCCAGGGTCCCCATAGAGATCCATTCCTTGTGATGGTGCTTCTTAGGACCAAGAACCTCCTGACACGTTGAAGTTAGTGCTTCTTTTATCCCTTTCCAGTTGTCCTCCAAAGTAGTTTCTTGTTCTTTCAGTAGATCCTGTAGAGCTTGGAACCTGTTGTTGAGAGTTATCTTGAATTCATGGAGTTTGTCAGTATCTCGAAGGAAGGCTGTATTAAACCTTTGTAGTGCTGTTTGTCCAGTTGTCCAGTCTTTCTTTAGCTTCAGTCTCATTTTGGCCACAACCAGGTGGTGATCTGAAGCTATGTCAGCTCCTCTCCGGGTTCTCACATCTTCCATTGATCTTCGGAATTTTTTGTTGATACAGATGTGATCAATCTGGTTCTCTGTGGTGTGGTCCGGTGAGATCCATGTAGCTGTGTGTATGCGTTTGTGTGGGAATATTGTGCCGCCTATAACCAATTTGTTGAAAGCACATAGGTTTGCAAGTCTCTCCCCATTTTCATTTCTCTCTCCTAGTCCATGTCGTCCAATTACATCTTCATATCCTGTGTTGTCCACTCCAACTTTAGCATTTAGATCTCCCATAAGGATGGTGAGGTCCTTTCGTGAGCACTTTGCTATAATTGATTGCAGCCTTTCATAGAACTGATCTTTATCATCGTCGTTGCTATCATTGGTGGGTGCATAACATTGGATAACGTTCATTGTGATCCCCTCTTTCTTTGTTCTGAATGATGCTTTGATTATCCTGGGTCCATGAGATTCCCATCCCACAAGTGCATTTCGTGCTTCTCTGGACAGCATTAGAGCAACTCCCTGAGTGTGTGGCGCATTTTCCCCTTCGTGACCGGAGTACAGCAGCATCTCTCCTGTACCTAGCCTTTGTTGTCCAGTTTGTGTCCAATGGGTTTCGCTGATTCCGAGTACTGCCAAGTTGTATCTCCTCATTTCCATTGCTATTTGGCTGGTCTTTCCTGTTTCCCACATTGTCCGGACGTTCCATGTACCTATAAAGAGTGTTGCTCTGGTTGTTAGAAGGTGCATCGACCTCGTGACTTCCGAAGAATTTCGGCTTTCATCATGAGGCGTCATAATCATTCCTTCAACTCCCAGGGCAGAGTTTAAATGGTTTGAATTATTTTTTCTGGTTAGCGTTTTTTTAGCGAGTTAGCTTTTCTACGGGATGGGGTCGCTAACCCCATGCCCAACCCTCCTCCTTTACCCGGGCTTGGGACCGGCAGTAACTCTAGAAGAGCTACAGGCGGAGTTATGATTAAAAATAAGTGTTGGATATATATATATATATATATATATATATATATATATATATATATATATATATATACTCAAATTGTAATTTGATAGTAATCAAACATAAAGTTATTAAATTAATACTGAATTAACTTTTTGAATACAATACATACATATTTTACTAAGGGTTTAATTAATGGTCTAGGATAAACTGACGAATTCTACGATCTGTTGGCATTCAACAATTTGAAATGTGCTTATGTACAATTTCGACTATATAGTATGGTCCGTCGAACATGCATATCAGATAAGATATCCCATTTTCTAAATGGTTAAATGTCATAAAATAAGATATAGCAATAGTTCATTACGAAGAAAAAAATGTGGTACACAAATGTTAGCTTATTTTAAAACAAATAAAAAAAATAAACAAACCATTTGTAGCATTGTCAAGTAACGTTTCCACCATAAGTATTTTCTCCATTTAGGCCCAAGAGCCGCAAATGCATAATAACTATACATAATCACATGAATTGCGCTGTTGACTATGACAGGTTGAAATAATTCACCTCCAGCTACCCATTTCACTCCAGCCCATGTTATCGGAATCATTGTGCAATGATGATAGACATGTAACCATGTGACAAGATGTGTTCGACCACGAATTATAAAAAAGAATGTATCTAAACATTCTATCACTTTCGATATATGAAATAACCAAACAGCTCGAACTAACTGTGAAACAAAATAGAAACAATCTCATATATTACTTTCTTATTTCAAACAAAGCTAGTCGATAACTTATAGTGATGAAGATAGTTTTGTCACAACAGACTGATTTTGGTTGAAGAACTAGTAAAACAAAAGGCATTGGATAAATAATTAGTTGTGGTCTCAACTCTTTTTAAAGTACACAGATCGAATACGAGATCGGTAAGTCTCATGATTATCACTTTGATGCCCATTTAGTCACTAAGAACAAATCATATCTTTTGACCTACAATTTTCTTCTTATATAGATTACTATCATTTGATGAGTAACTGCCATTTATAGGACCACTTAAATATTCTGTATACAAATTATGGCTTTACTTCCTTACTACAAATGCAGTTATTTGAAAAATGGTTGTTCTTTTCTTATATTTATCCACCTATAATTTGAAGTTAGAACTATTTGATCACATGTATATGTATGTATGCCCTGGTGCGCTCGAGAGTGAGGAGAGTCAGCTCTCCCTCTCGAAATGCTCTGAAATGGCCACTTGCATAAAAACACTGCCAGGAAAGTCCTACTCACTGCCTTCTCGCGGCAGGAGTGTTGTTTACGAAATTGAGAAGACAAAAAGCGAATGTCCAGTGTTTTACCCGGGTTAGTGAAGACAGAGGATCCACCTGGGAGAGTAGGAAAACCCTGAAGTAGTTGAACGCGTCGACAACTTCACATATCTTGGAAGTTTGATCAGACGTAATGGGTTGGTGTCTGATGAAATCTCTGCATGGATTCAAAAAGCTCACTTGGCTTTTGCCAACTCACGTCGCCTATGGCGAAGGCGAGATATCCGTCTATCAATTAGGGGACGTGTATATTGTTCAGCAGTTCGTTCTGTTCCACTTGACGGCCGAGAAACGTGGTCATTAAGAGTAAAAGATACTCGTAAGTTACTAATATCTGACCACAGATGACTTGGAAATACTGTTCGCATCTGCTGGGATCACCGGGTAAGTAATAGTGAAGTTAGACAGAGGGTATTAGGGAATGATAGTAATAAATCAGTTGATGAGGTTGTAAATCTTAATCGACTGAAGAGATTGGGCAATGTGTTACGCATGCCCAACCACCGATTATCATGGTGCGCAACGCTGACTAGTGTTGGGGATAGTTGGATGGAAGTTAGGGGCTACCAAACCAAGACGTAGCATCGGTTCAAAAAGTCACTAACTTTTGGTCTGAACCATGTTAGTAGATGTAGAATACTTGGTTGAGGTCCGTGCGACTATCGTAAGCAGTAGTTAGAGCCTGTGTGACACAGCTCAGAATCCATCACGATGACGTAGGTGTGTACACTCTTTGTCTTCATCCAAACCGTGAGATTAAAATTGCTTTATACCTGTGTTTCTAAGAACTAATCCCTTCTCCTTGTATCATATCCTTGTATACAATCTTTTTAAATATATTACTACCATTGAAGTAACTACTTCTATGAATTTGGTGTTTATCTTGTTGCTCTATTGAGGTATGGCAACTTGGACCGATGCATATATGCGCCTGGTCCTACGCTGTAGATGACTGACTTCTCAAAGTAAAAGTCTGTAGTTGGCCATTGAATTGCACCAAAGCTGTTTAAATTGAAGACAAATTAATAGACAATTTGTTCTAGTCATGGATGTTTAATTATTATTATTATTAATGGCTTTATTCTATATTATAATCTGGTACAATATAGAATTCTCAGCATCTCAGAATTCTCAGGATCTAGTCTTTTGGGTTGGAACACTAAGGAGGCGTTTGGCTTTAGTCAAAACACTCCTTGTGTAACTCTTGAAAAAACCCAGATCAGGTTCAAAATATTAGAAAATTATTTCGGTTTAATTGTGTGTAGACATAGAAGACTAAAACTAATTACAAACGGTACTAATGGGCTTATGAGGTAAATGAACACTGTCAGACAAGGGAAAATCAAGGTTTAGATCAGCATCAACAACGTAGTGTTTCAGTGAAAGTAGTGTCTTGAAACGATACACGACATTGTTCTGTCGATGACAGGTTACTTATCCAGGCTCTTATTACCTTCTGTCTAGTTACTTCCACTATGGGTTCTCCCAGAAACCTCCATTTTTATGTGATATGATAGTGATGTTAGGTGCTGCTTTTACCTGCAAACATACAAGTCGTTTGTCCATTAGTGGAGTGGTAAATCTTTTCTAGCCTATGAGCAGCTGTTATATTAGTTATATTTGTTTCTTGACCTGCTGATCTAGCGTAGCACTTCAAGATTCTTCAACAGCTTGCAGCAAGGACTTGATAGAAAGTTGATAATTCTCTTCCACAAAAGTGATGAAATAAATTTTTTTCCAGCCAATTTAACTTGAATACACGTTTTAAGTAAAAACTTATAGTCAACATAGAGAATTGATCTGAAATGAGTATTAACGACAACTATTACATAGACATTATAGAAAACCAATCGTTAAAGGTATACATAGTGCAATATACACTATTTTTTCCCAATCTCTAGAAAAAGGTATACTATGAAGGGTCTATGAAGATTTATTGAGTTGCACAGTCGACTACATGAACTGATCTTAGTTAAACAATCAAATAGGACTACTCAGTAGTGTCCATTTACGACCTAGGACCTTCAATCTCGAATCAATATTAGATAACTTTAACAGTTTCGAGGAATTTTTCAGCAAAGAAGATGGCATATATTCTATATATTGTTCAACTATATCGTCTGTCTTGTGAGATAATAAGGGATTGAACCATTAAGAAATTTCATAAGATGACCGTTTAATTGCTCCGTATTTTGATGAAGTTTTGTTCTCTGAGCTGGCTTGGTTGTTGAGCTTTCATCGTTCTTCTGATCGACATCATCAGCACTAACTTCGGGTAGAAATGAAATGTCCGGATTTCTCCATATGTGGCTCACAGCTTGTCTTAATACACCTCGATGTTGACTGGTTCTTGTTGACCTTACATCTGTCATTATTTACTTCATTGTTTTGGTTGTATTTCCCATTAATTTGATTTCCGTTTCTATGTTTCTGCATAATTTTCCTGGTTGGTTAGTAAATTGGATTGATTTCAAGGTGCTTGTTTATTGCTGATTGACCTGAGTGCCAAGCTTCTAAAAATTCTCTGGTGTTCTCGGAATTGCCTTTACCCAAAATCTCCACATTTTTCCAGTCAAATGTGTGTCCACAGTTGTCCACGTGCACTGATATAAGTGAAGACATGTCATGGAGTTTGACTGCTAATTGATGTTCATGCAGGCGAAAATAAGACTCATGTTGACAGATGTTAAAGAGGTTGTCTTCGAACACACGTAAAATACGGAATCTTTTGCATTGATGAAAATTTAATGACATACATATGGAGAACATTATTTACAAATGACAGTTCAATATTTTATTTGGCTATCTTACGCAACTTCTCTTCTATACACGAATGGATATGATTTTTACTGAAAACTAGTTAACATTTAGGAAGTTGAAAATAATTTAAGATAGCATAATTCATTAGTACAAATAATCTGGTCAAATCATCAGATGAGGTTTGGATAAATTGGAAGACTTCATTAGTAAAGCCCAAAAATATTATAGAATACTAAAAATGAATTGGAATTTTTGAAGAAAATAGATTCACTAATTCATTTTATAGATTAGGTCCGTAAAGTTAACAAAACCTATCAATCGACATGACTGATGTCAAAATAAATCACCTCATTTAGTAATTAGTAGTACAGCACATTAAATTATTTTGTATTATCCAACATTCTTTTCAGTGAGTAGAAAAATTTTTCTACAAATATATTAATTTATTTATAGAAAAAGTATGTTTTGCCTAACAAATCAAATTTCTATTTTTTTTACGAAGTTGTTCACTTACTTAGAAGCATAATGTCAATAATACTGAAATAGTAACCAAAGCAACGACAATGAAAACGGAATAACATGTGAACATGTCTTATTAGAACAAACATTTCTTTGCATATTTGTGTGAAAGTAAATGATGTGCACTATAAGTTGGCAACCAAAGAAGAATATATATATATATATATATATATTGGATTTTTAATAAGCTTACAAAATAGCTTTTATATTAGCGTTCTCTGGATTAAATGTGAAACTTTCTGAATAAGTTGTGTAAACTAACACATTTGCTAAAAGTTTTTTTAATAGGATGAAGTTATGCACGTCTGCTCGCAAGGGATAGTGATGAAAATAATCTACAACGTAAAAGTTCATGTGCTAAGCCTTCATCAGTACTTTATTGTACCACTATTTTCAAATATTTCCTAGCTCTTGAAATGGTTATATGGGATAGAGATCGAAATTCATTCAAGTTTGTGGACCTCCATATACTTTAATACATGATATTTATTTAATTCTGGATTCAATGAAAATAGTCTTATTTCGACAGGATGAGAATATTGAATAGACTGTTGAGTAAGCTACCGTGAGCTTTACCAGCAAATTTTAAATGGAGGCGAAAAAGTAAAACAATTTTTACCACATTGAAGAGACGACATTTTGAGTGTCCTATAACTTCTGGAACTTAAAACTTGTCGTCCAATCAAATTCTATTTAGTCTCACGCTAAAATCCGTGTCTATATAGGCTTGATTTAATGGTAACCTCATATAAACTGGCTTGTCCTCCTATGGTCAAGAAAATCTACCAAGATCGGCTGTCAGCTGAACGCTTCATAGACGTATTTCTTTTAAATGCTTCGTACAAAAGTGTACAACACAAATATTTGTTAACTGATATAAATGATAGTCTTCACAAAATCGAGATTTTTCAAGCAGTTCAACCATAGTGCTGATAGAATACTAATGTACGTTTATAACCCAAAATGACTATTTAGATTCACCATTGTTCTATTCCAGATTAATACAAGATGGAACGTCGACTTTCCGAAATGGTTGCTCTTACACTTATTAAAATCTCATTACACACGATATCGGACATGAAGTTTTGTTGTCAGATATTTTATTGCAAAAAAGTTTTAGTTAATGCAATGAATAGCGAATCGTCATCTAAAGATCTAACAATTGATCATTAGTTGTCTTCTATAAATGCCAGTGATATTCCCCAGAAATGAAAGTAGCCTGATCTCAACACATTTATGGATAAAGCACATCATTCAACGAAAGAAAATTTCACCTAGAGCACTTACTTTTGCAACCATTATTACGAAGGGAACTAGATATATCCTTAAATTTACTTGTTTTCAAAAGCAATGTCGTACACATCATTTGATAACTAGGTGATAAATCAGAATGACTTTCCAAAGAGCTAACCAAAACAAGTGTCTTTCCGAATATTTTATCAAGCATTTCCCATTCATAGACGTATAAATTTTTTAACCACAAGTATCGAAACACGATTCAGTTCTAAAGCATTACTTTGCATGCTGTTAATAATTCGGTTCTCTTAGACTATCTCTCCATTTGAGTACTGCTATGGTACAACTCTTTAACGCTACGTCTCAAAATCATAAAATTCGCTATCGTCAGGGAGAAATCATCACAAAATCTGAAATGCATCAGCAAAATAATTTCAGAAGGCACCGATAGTAGTAAGGAAATACGATATCCCATGCAACGCACCAACTGGCCATCTTAGGTACTATTCGTTACGACACTTTTGCCTATAGTTCAGATATATCTTCCTACATCACTTTCGACCTCTGATTTCAGTGGTTTATGAAACATTTCATTGAAAGACGTTCCAAGAGTAGTACTACCAAACTTTGAGTATTCAATATGTTTTGACAGTTTTCATACATTTGTTCATAGCCGGTACTATTGCATTCCAAGTGTCTATTAGTTTTAAAATCTGAAATCTACTGGCATTTTACAGCTCAATAGAAGATACCTGTTGCAGAATTTGCGGGTCGAAAACTCGAAATAATGAATCACATGGGTACTAGTTGGCTAATAAACCGGAAAGTCAAGTACGACAAGCAGTAGCTCTTTTGGAGTTGTCATGACTAATCATTAGTAAGTGTTTACTTAGCCAGGAGATAAGTTGTTGACCGGAAAGCATTAAGAACAGGATTCAAACAAAACTATAACGATGACAAAACCCAAAAATACAATAACTTACTCTTAAAGCGTTACGATTTGAGCTGTAATCGACTTTTTGACAGTATATCGAGTAATTTTCATTAAATGCGACTGTTATGGATTCATATATAATATAGGCATTCATAACTACCATAATCCAATCATACATAAAAACGAGTCTATTTATACAAAAAGGATTCCTTCCTTTCATGAACTTTAATCCATAATAGACTAATATTAGGTAGGCAATGATCACAAACAATAAATTATTAACTGAACTCATTAGAAGCAACGAAGAGACTCTGGGATCTATAAGAAATAAAAACACTTCTTAATCGATAAATACCTGCTCTGTCCATGCTTATTTTAAAAATCCTGTTCATCCAGTCTATATATTCACCTACTACATTCATTTTCAATAGGCGATTAGAAACAAATGATAGAAAAGAATTCGTGTGATGATGTTCAATGATAGAAGTAACAAATTAAAACAAAAGTTTAAGGGATCAATCTCAACGTCTTTTAAAATAGGGTCCGACAAACTGATTTACTGTTTTGCTTTCTCTTCTTGTCTTTTTATACAACTCTAAATATCCGGTTATGCTCAACAGATGGTAGTCAAGCCATCTGACTACACCGATTTGTGGATTTGTATGCCTATGTAGTGTCAAATAAATCTAAGAATCATTAACTCTGTAAGTGTATGACATTGGATGCTGAATACATTAGTTTTAATGGCCTCACCTAGTTGAAGGCACTCGGTCACTCATCCGCACCAGATCACGAGTGGGAACTCTGTGTTCAACTTCTCGCTAGCCAGTTTAGATCAGTCACTTCTCGATATATTGACAACCGGTTAAACGTATCTTCCAGGCTCCTCGCTTCTGACTTTTGATTTCACTGGATGGTTGCGATTCAATTGTAATAGATGTTGCTGGTAAAGTGCTTTCAAACTACAAATACCTGTGACATCAGTCCCTATAGGGAAGACAGAAGAACATAAATTGTGGTCAACAAATGATCTCAATGAAGGTTGAGGTACAAGATAGGTGGAAGAAACGAATAAATGACAATACTTTTGAACTTTTGCCGATGGATTGTGCTTTCTTAGATTTGAGGGATTCGTTCTTTAGTAGTGACCTCGACACTCAACACAATCTAATAGTTGAAATTGAAAAAGCGGGACATCTCAAGGGACAAAGCATGAGAGTAGAAAAGCCAAGAACGAATAAAATACCCGTGGCATACAGGTTTTCACATCGAATCATCAATTCTTGGAACCTGTTGCCCGAAGCACTGGTGTCCGCACCTTCAATTGACTCATTCAAGAAAAGTTTGGACACTCATACTAGAAAAAAAAGATAGGCCATGGGCCTTCTGTCCTTACTATACAAATCTGAACCAGTCCAATAAAATGCTGTGGAGGGATTTTCAACGTGACCTTTATAGCCAAAACAGCAAACATACACTACATAATGGCAGCTGATTCAGAGTTTTTCAATGTTAAGTTTGCTTTCACGAACGGCGTGATGAGTTTAAGCCATCTATTACTGTTATATGGCATATTTTTGATAACAAAGCCTCTGAAATAGATCGACAGCATCTCTGACTAGGTTCAGAGTTGCCTGGTGCCTGGGCTTCATTATCTTTTTGAAAACGTTACTGATATTCACCACTGCCGGGCACCCAATATTACTTTGGCTAATTAATTGGTGGTGTTGTCCATAATAATCAAGAAAACAACAAACCGGAGACCATTTTCATTCATTGATCCGGATAACATTATGAATGACAGTTTTAAATGTTCCAATGAGAACGAATATGCGGACGGTTAGAGTCCCAGGCGACAGCAACACTTAGTTTTTAGCAAAAAAGCTAACCTTGGTTTTCAATATGTACAAAATAAAACGGATTGTCTGAAGAGACACAGTGACTTGAGTACTAGCAGAAAAACCCGAAAAAAACAAAGCTGAATCAGAGAAAATTTGCACCAACATCAAGAGTATTACATTAACGGTGGCATTTCAGTACAGTGAAACATGAAATTATGTAGCTACACATAAGAAATAGCGGGAAAAAATGCGGCGAAGTAAACCGACCGCCATTACTTACAAAGATAGCGGATACAATAGTTCTAGCTTCACTCTGACTGGTCGCTAAGTAGACTGTCTGGATTGTGAAATCGAGTTCACTTTAACGGCAGTCGTGATAGATGCATTACATGACAGTAAGGAGGCGTGAATGTCAATGAAAGACGTAAAACAGAAGTAGACTAACGTTGTACAGGATATCCACTCGAATACTGAGGTTCGAACTGAAGCTTTTGTCAACGCATGGGCTTTACAAACGGGAAGTTTAGTCTTGAAGTGATTTGAATTCCTCAAACTTTTGCTGTGTCCTTACGGAACGAAAGTACCATTGTTGATCTAAAGAATATGTTCTGAACTTAATGTTTCATAGATTACGTTCTCTTACAAATTTTACTCAAGTTAATAGTTGACTGTGGTTTTGTCTCAACTTATAAGCTGAATAGCATGCTATTCGGTTTTTCAGTTCTTCAAGACTATTTTCAGTTTATACTAACCTTTTGTACAGCCTGTTTTTATCCATTTTATCTTTTTGGAGTGTACCAATTTTTGTTTCACGATAGTAGACTTCTTCAAGATCTATTAAAAAATTCACTTCACGAAGAATTCATAAGAGCAACCCGGATGCCGTTTTGCTGTCAACTCTAGGATGCACTGTGACAAATAGTCTAACGAAGCGTGCACAGATCATACAGTAACTGCTTAAAATAGACTTGGTAAGTCGGATCGAAGGTGAATATGTGTCACGTACAATATTAGTACTGGGAATTCTCTTGACAGTTCTGCGGAAAAAGTTGTGAGCTAACCTGAAAAATGGTTGTCCCAAGCGGGCAAACAAACAAAAGTGAGAAGTGAAGAAAAAAAGAGGGACTTTGAAAACGTTAGTATCGATGGCACTCTAGTGAGGAAATGCTGGGACTCAGCACCATCATAACATCGACGGTACTAAATTCCCTCAGAAAACTTGGGTCTCCCAGCTGGGGATTTCTGAAAGCAGCGGTGGTTCCCAGAAGCTCTGTAGGTGGTTTTAGTGACGTTAAAAATTTCAAAAACTACCGGGTGTCACAGTCTAAAGAACAAAACATTCCAAGTATCGTAGTGAGATCAACTGTTCAACCGGTCAACAAGGAGGACAGGAATCCGAAAAACGTTTCAACCATCAAACAAAATAGTTATCAACCTGAACGTACCCGAAAACCTGGGAAAACAATCACAGTTAACCATGATTCTCTCATAATCATGAACCTTAAAGACAGCCCTGAACTTTTCTTCAGTTTGCAGGACAAAATGACAAGATGCCCTGGGAAGAGTTATTCTGGAAGCTCAAACTTCTCAAAATAGAGCCTTTTCGGTCACATGGCGCGCTCAGGGAGAGGACCCCAAGCATCGGAATCACCCATGACTATTTTATGTAACGCTCACTAACGCTACCGACGTAGAGGATGCCCTTCTGGCTTGTCACTTACTGAAATCAGATGGGAACGTAAATGTCCTGCCTAATATACATTATCCTGAGCGCAATCTCATCCGAAACATCTCTAAGGAATCTCACAGGACGGTTTTCCGTGAAAGAAATATCATTGTGCAAGTTGTGCCAGAAAACACGAACTTTGACTATACAAACTCTGATATTCGGAATAGAAATTCATCAAGCAGTCCTAGAAAATCAAAAACATATTGACTCAACAGATGGTGAGACTAGCCAAGGAAGACAGAGGTTCTAGACCCTGGCTGATGAGGATAACCTTCCCACCCTCCCATATAGCAGCTACAACACTCGAAGCAATTCGTGCCGACAGAATCCATATGCATCCAGATAGGCCACCTAATGCGAGGATCAAGCACAAAAAGAAGTTGAAGCTGAATATTTCACTTGCCGACTGCCAAGACCATGAAAAAGGAAAGGACAGGGTCTGCCAACTCGGAAAATCTTGTGTGGGTAGGTCATCTGTCCATTCACACGAGACTCATGTGGATAAACAGTATGGGGAAGCTAACTTGCTTCAAATTGAAAGTATAAACCGCTTATATATGAACGCTTTATCGAATAAAATGGATGAGTTGTGTGAACTCAGTAAAGCTAATTATACTCATCTGAGAAGAATATCTGAAACTTGGATATCTTCCCAATTTATGAACCAGGAGCTAGCAATACCCGGGATGCATCCTAACACTTCTTCCCATGGTACTTTTTACAGATTCACATAATCTTAAACTCTTCATGTTTTTTTTAGATCTTGATTCATGAAGACCTTTATACTTCCTTATATTGTCATTGGCTTGCTTTCTTTAACTTATCTTAATACTCTTGCATAATAATCTGGTAACAGTTACTGAAAGGAAATAGGTCCATGTAAAAGTACTTTAGTTGCCTCGTCACAGCTAACTTAAATTACCCAGTCACAAGCGCTGTCTGTTCCGTTGATTGACTTTTCTATTTCCCCTTTTACAGTACCATCAGGATACACCACCGAGGATACATACATGAAACTTATGACTCTGTCCTCATTTGACACCTCCGACATTTCAGAAAGCCACTAGTTCAGTCTTCTCCAAATGCCATCAGTGGGGTCTGCTAACCTTTCTGTACCGCCTTCTAGGGTCACCCACCCACAACTTTAGTTTAGTATACTTCGGTCAATCGTATGCAGTACAACGAGGTAAGTACGTCTACGCAAGTACGCTCCTACCAGACGAATTTGCAGATAATATACGAGAAGTTTTAGCCAAATTGGATCACGAAAAGGCATATGATGCATTTAACCAAGCCGTTAATAAATCCATCTCTTTAACCATCCATCAATTTACTGACCAGCTTCTTGACCAGGTGCAAGTGGGAGATAGGACTCTTCACAGCCAAAAAAGTATATTAAAAGTCTACTGGAAGAGAATAAATTAGACAGAAACCTATTTTTTATCAACTATGGCCCCGCCGACTTCCATTGACTGTACAACAAATTCTGATAATCGGATATGACGACATTGATGTAGACAGTATCGCAAAATTAGCCGACAGAATATAAGAGAGAACCAAACAGAATCGATGCGCTGCAGAAAGAGATACTTATTTTATGCCACCGATTGATAAAGTTGACACAGAGTGACAGATTACAAAAATGGTCACGATATGGGTCTCTCACTTTAAGCCGGTTATTCTCTGGGAGACGCCTAGCTCCTTAGATATTCTGGTATCACCAGATGTATGACAACAGAGCTAAAAATAGTAGAGCTCTTTATCAATTTGAATAACAGGGCAAGTATCCCGCCGGTTTTCGGCGATGCTGCTTCAGCTGATATCACTCATACAAATAGTCGCTTGTTGTACA